CTTCTTCTTCTTCTTCTTCTTCTTCTTCTTCTTCTTCTACTTGTTTTTCTTCTTCTTCTTCTTGCTCTCAATAAGCTATTTGTGGGCAGATTAAGCGTTATGCCAACAGGGGACGGAACGCGCTCGCCGGCTTTTGCCTTGGGACCTGAGCTGGAGCCCAAACTGACTGCCATATGGTGACTCATAATGACCCTGGAATCTGATCAGTGTACGGATTCCTACCGTGATTAATATTCACAACGATAATTAACAGGACAAGGAGTCACTGGTCGAATGAAAGAGCCCTGGACTTACATCAATCAGTTAATAAAAAGTTGAAATTTAGAATGGTTGGATAACGAATGCTAATACAACGAACGGTTTTATCCCAGTCCAGTCGTCTTCTTCTTCATTAGAAATGCCGCCTAGAAAAGGACCTTTATATTTGTCACCTATGCATTTATACCATCCTGCACCCCCACACATAGAAACGGTACAAGAATAAGAACTTGAACTTCCCGTCTTACCCAAAGATGTTATTCTCTCATTTAATTTCTGCTTATCCATCCATTTTTTCTCGTTGCTCAGCTCTTTGGCCAATAAAACAAAAGGGTTTATTCTAGCCTTAAAAAGACCTCCTTCATTGTCAAGTATGCGTTTATACCGTCGTGCACTCCCACACCTAGAAGATGGTAAAAGAATAAGAATTTGACCTTCCTGTCCCAACCAAACATAATAATCTCTCATTAGCTTTCTGCCTATCCATCCTTTTTTCTTATTTCTCACCTCTTCTCATGCTTATTCTGCTGCCTTCCTAGTAATCTGCATTCAATTTCTTCCATAGTTGGCAAAAATGTGTCTTTTATTTCGTTTCAGCTCACGACTTTTAAGGCTTTGCCTATATTCTGAAAAGCAATATTAAAGAGCTAAATTTCATGACTTACATATAAATGATTCCTGTCGCCTCAAGGCATGGATAGTAAATCATAGCTGTAGGAAGTGGGTAGGAGTATACTGTTGAAATATTTGTTGAGGAGCCGCATTTGAAATACGAAAGCATAACGGTATTACAGCCTCTGTGAATTGAAAGACCGTGGACAACAAGAACAGTGGCATACCTGTTATAGCAACTACGTAACTGCTCAATATATTAGCACCCCTTACGGAGGATTATATTTTAATCAAAGCAGTTTACTTGCATTATTGAGGGCGCATTAAATTTATCCACTAGCAAATAAGAGTACAACGAGACAATTCTCTATTAAACTGGTCTCTGGTCTTTTATTAAGTGATTTATGTATACTAAAGGAATTATAACTGACAACCATGTGCGTAAGACCCTTATCTACACTCAGATAAACAAGTTCCCGATCGTACTTCTCATTACATATGCCAAGGGGTAGACAAAATTGTGAGCCATAGCTAGAAAGTTGTGTTCTTTCTCATATTAGGGCTTAGTTTTAAAAATCTTGTTTAATTTTCTATAATCTGTTTACTTTACTATCCCATTAAACATTTGTACGTGTCATTTTGCGTTCAGTTGCCAGACGTACTTAATTTGCTCTGAGCATATTACATATTGGTTGTATTTTGAAACAGGAAAACACATCTGTGTAATAGCGACAATGTTTATTATTTAAACACACTCCGTCGTAGCCATCTATATAAAATCAATTTTGCAAAAAAAATTGCCTAATGCGAGCGAATTCAAGTTAGCATTT